GCATTTGTATGTTTTCTGGGTGCCAACTAGATGCTTTACTTCACAGATATAGAGGAAAATGGCTTCAGCCACCATTCGGTGGTTCTCAAAATCCTGAAGTCCTTAATGCTGCAAAGACCAGGCAGCAAAAAACGACAGCTGACCTGCAAGCATGAAATGCAAAGCTTGGCTTTGCAGCTGATCCCTCAGCTGTTACTTAAAAGCCGTGTTGTTTTGCAAGGCCCAAAACCTCATACTTTCTGCTTATTGGATTAGAAACTAGGGAAAAAGCACATTACTTAAGTTCTTAAGTAACAGTGGATATCGCTAGCAAAGAGTTCCCAATCTGGCACGTATTAACACGTAACGGTGCTCACGCTGACCGCACCTCCACCTTCTCCTCGCACTGGGGTTGTCCTCTGCTCCCCATGTGAACAGCGCATGAAATAGCAATCATCCTGGCATGCCGAGAGGGCGGGAAGGCATGGCTCTGCGGGACTGTTACCCATGGAGCATCTTACCCAAGCACCCCACATCATCAGCCACAGACTGATGGCCCACCATGAAGCATTTCAAAGGCAACACAGAATTAATCTCTGTGGTGGGGGATGCTATCTCCTAACAGATAGCATCCAAAGAGTGGCTGTGATGAAATGCATGAGTTGCCCCAAGTACAGCAAAAACAAATGCTATGATAAATCTTGCAAGCTGCCAGGGACTTTTTTTTTTGTCCCCTATGCTCCCGAGTTTCCACTACTTCATAAAGCAGGGAGGGATGGAGCAGCCTTCCACGTCACGGGAGGGGAAGGCACAAAGCCCAGCGCTTTGGACACCAGGTGTGAATACCTCCCCTCCAGCAGAACCCAGCGAAGGCAGTCACTAACACCTTGCAATGTCAGCGGGCAAGTGTCTGCACCCGTCCTAAGCCCGGTGGGCTGGGGACATGGCACAGCCACCCACCTCCCGGTGTCACCTCCCCAGGTCTCTCAGACCTGCTGGCTACTGGAGTCTGGGCAGAGGGACCTGGGGAAGGGTTACCCGCTCTGGTTTCGTAGGCTAAAAACGGGCTGCTACACATCACGGGCGGGATGCAGGGCTAGATGGAAGCTGCTCTAATTTCTTTGCATCGCTAATGACAAGTTGGAGGTGAAAAGTCTGAGAAGCCCGATTGGTACCAGTAACTGGGATTTCCTCAAAGTCAACGTATTTGGGAGGACAAGCCTCGAGGGGTGGCTGGGGCAGCATCTCCTCTGAGCCCATGCCTCCGCTGGTAGGGACACAGGCTGGGAGCGAGGTGTTGGGACCACAGAGAGGCAGCGCCTCATGCTTCAGGGACAAGCAAAGCCACATCGGACCCAGCAGCTCCTCCAAGCATCCAGGCAGTGTGAGGGTTGCTGGAGCACCACTCTCACACTGTCAGGATGGAGACGTCGCTGCGACCTGCCCCACAGGGAAGAGAGCCAGCAAGGGGTCCTGGGTTGTGCCGGGGCTCCTGCTGCCCTCTCCAGATCAAGCCATTCAATCTGCCCCCGTGCCTCCACCCCCCCACCCGGCGCACGTCCCGCGGGGCCAATGCACACCACCACACACAGAGCGTTTCATTACAAACCTCAGAGTGACAAGGAGTGTTAAGCAGATATAAAGGACATCAGTCATTTACCCATCTGGTGGAAAGTCTAGTTGCTGGCAGAAAATAGAGAGGATTGTTAGAGCAAGATCTACCATATGGCACCATTATGTGGAGCTTTGCAAGTGCTTTCTCTGAGCGTGCAAGCAAGATTTCAGCCTTTGAAGAAATGCTGTATTGTTAGCCTGGATACTTCTTTCTCTTGAAAGAAGCCGTGGCAGATGGCACAGCTTTGTTCTCTTGGTTCACAGGCAGCTCGTGCAGCCCCAGATATTCCCCCTTGCCGGGGCTGAGCAGCCCCAGCACAGCGATCCTCCTGATGTGTCCTACAGGAGGATCGATGGCTCCTAAAACTCCTTAAATCGGATGGATGTTGCCTGGTGGGTACCACACCACTGCATGAACCCCAGGAAGCAAACACCGCTGACCTGAGCCGGTGGGACACACCGGTGTCGATTCAAGGAGACCTGCACAAAATCACAAAGCCTTGTCCCAGCCAAGGGAACTGTAAATCAGTAAATCTTCCTGAAATACCCTACTTTTGTCTGCGCCTCCCTGCCAGCACCTGCTCCTGCCTGGGTGGCTGAGCCTGGCTGGAGCCCCGGCAGGACAAAGAAAGGCCTTTCAGATGGGGCCGGTGCCCGCTTGAGCGACATCCCAACAATACCCCGACGAAAACCCATTCAGCCCAGGCGGGGAGAAAGGAAAGGAAAGGGAAAAGGTTCCTCCGGGAGGAAGCGGTGATCAGTCACTGACCACAGCAACAACATCTGCATCTGCCCTGCGCCGGGGAAAAGCCACCACCTGCTGCATACTGCTGGCTGGGACAGGGCGCATCATTCCTGCAGCCCGGTATGGAACTCCTGTTTGTGCCCAGGCAAAAAAAAACCCATCCCCTGTTTTCCTGTTGCTCCTCCTGAGAAACACTCGCACGGCCACAGAATAAAACCCTAACTATTTAACTATTCTATTGAACTATGCCAGTTAAGATCCCAACACATAGCAGGCCATGAAACACAACAGGAGAGCAGACCAAGCCTTTAGCTGACCTCAGAGTCAGCTGCTCCAAGTCCCTCTGCAGCTCAGGCCCTTGTCCTCTGCCGCTGGCACGGGACAGTCACTGATTTCTCATGCTACAGATGTGCCCAACTCAGACAAACAGGCACACGTAAAAACACCTGAAGCCCAGAGGATATTTTGCAGGATGGCTCCAAAAAGGAAGAGGCTTTGCCCTTTGATATACACAGCAGGCTGGGATTTGCAAAGCAGGGACCCTGCTGGATTGCTGGTCTCTGTGGGAGGATTGTCCGTCCAGGTGGCCAAACCCACTGCTGCAACATCCCCAAAGATACTGTCTGTCCCAGGCCTGAAATCTTCCACCCCTGCCACTCCGAGACCCTAATGGGAACAAACGGGGCAGGAAAGTCACCTTTAAGGTGCAAGAGAAGAGTTGGCAAAGGACCAAGCCGAGCTGGCAAAGCCTCCAGATCCCCTCCAGCCCCTTCGACTTCCCTCAACCCAACCGACTGGGACAAAGAGGACTTTGGAGGGAGCCCTGGTCCCACAGAGCGGGCATAAGCCATCCCGCCCCGGACGGTTGAGCATGACGGGCCGGGTGGCATCAGGCTCCAGCAGGCGTAAAAATCAGCCCAGCACCTCTGAGTGCTTTCTCTGTCTCTCTTCCAAATGTTACACAGTGGGTTTATACAGAAACAGTGGGACGCTTTCCAAACCATTTAACTAATGCTGAAATTTAAAACCCGACACCAACAGGTTACTGAGAGCAAGAAGGAGCTGTTGTAATGGAGGGGGGGGATTTAGATCTTCACTCCCCCTAAATGGGAATCTGCCCTCTCGTGCCTGCAGTGCACAGCTCGGCTTCCCCCTCCCTCCCCTCCCACCCGGTGCTGGCTCAGGTCAAGATCTGCTGGATGGATTTTTTGGGGAGCCAGAGGGTTGCAGCTGCTTGTACGGGAGCATGGGCACCCGCTGTCCCCCCTCCCTATATGACTTCAGTTCCCGGGCAGCCAGCACAGCTCCTGCGGCTGGCATGCCCTGGATGAGCAGCTGCCTTCAAGCTTTATTCTCACCCTTGGCTGGGGGAAAAAACCCAAAATCTCGGCAGCACAGAGCAAGGGATAGAGAGCAGGAGGGCCACACCAGGGCATGCGCTGGGCTCAACTGTACCCTGCAAACGCCGCTGGGCTCCTGCCTCGCTGCACACCCAGTGGTTCCCTGCAAGAAGCATCTGGCTGAATTTGGGGGAGGTGCTTTGAAAATCCCAGGCTTAGGAAAGTACTGTGGGCATGCAGGTTTGATGGGGCTCCAGCGCACAAGGATGTGCAGATGCCTTCTTCAGCAGGGCTGGTGATGCTGAGCTGCAGTGCAACAAGCCCTTACACTGTCTTTGGCTGGGGCATGGGGAGAGTTTTCCATGGGAAAGAATTTCCCCAGGAAAATCTGATTTGGACAAGTTATCAGCGGAGAAAGAAATGGAACAGAGGCAGCCACTCCACCTGAACAAACCAAACGTGACCAGTGGCGTGTTGCAGGACTGCTGCAAGAAGAGTCCTGCTGCCAGGGTGTCTTGTCCCTGCCATGCTGTGTTAGGTGTTCCAGTCTGCCTTCTCCTTTGTTCCATGGAGAAGGACACCTGGGCAAAATCAGCTCTCGTACTACAACCTGGATCTCTCCTCTACCAAATGGTCTGGCTCACCAAAACCATGCTGCCTGGCATCTAACGGGACATGCTATACCAGGAGGTGTGACCGACAAGCGTCATGACTCCCAGCTCCCTCCACACATCAAAGCACTGTGCAGAAACCTCATTTTACTGCCGAGCCAACTTCAAGCGGCGTGTTTTGGGTCCATCCAACATGCCACATCAAAATGTTTTCGCTTAGAAGAAATCAAAGCTTTTTTCCGCTGACATTTTTTGATCCATGTCTTTCAGAGTTTTGATACTGAGGGACACAGAAACAATATCCCAACTCTCCAAATCTCAATTTAGCCCAAAACCAAGGATTTCTGCGAAGCAGAGTGTCCAGCAAGTAAAGTGACTTTGCATCTACAAGGGACAACCTGCTTTATTGGCTCAGACACCCCTGCATCGTCCCGGAGCTGCACAAAGCCAGACCAGCCCCCAAAGCCCTGCTCTAAGAAATCAAGGCTTTCTAACAAGAAAGAGAAACCACGCCAATCTGGCAGTACACCCGGGAGGAGCAGAGCTCAAGGTTCGATGCAAAACCGCTCCCAACAGCAGCCCCTGATGCTCCCTTCACACCAAAGCTTGCCTGAAAACTCAAAACCAAGCCTGGGGAGACTGGAAAGGGGAAAAAAAAGCAAAACAAAATGGGGGGCGGCGGGGGAGAAAAATAAAAAGCATCCTACTTACCACCAGCTCGGTGAACATGACGTCCAGCTCCTCCACCGGCGGCATGGGCAGCGCAGGCTCCATGGTCTGCAGGGCGAAGCTGCTGTCATTGCGCAGCCGGTACGTGATCTCAGGGTGGTCACTGCTGCGAAAGCAGCAGAAGATGAAGGAGATCCCCCGACTGCTCCTCTTCCTTGGGGCCATGGCCAAAATCCTCTGCGTCCCTCCCTCCTGGGCACTA